ACTTCATAAAGGACGCCATGGCTTTGGATTTGCGGGGGTTGGGCTGAGCTATTAATGGTAGAACATTCTGGAGCTCGCTCCTTCCTGTGTTCTGTGCTGTCTCGGACTTTCCTCTTTCCAGATGACCACCAAGGAGAGCAGACGCCCGTAACGGTGGGAGGTGAAACTACGAGATGCTATTCCGTGAGCAGAATCAGGCCTGTTCCAATCTAGTCCTGTTAGGGATCGTCACGTTTTCCTTCTGCTGTTCTGACCATCCTGAACGCCTACAGGTCTTGTCTTTGCTTTTGCCACTTTTTGGGGAAAGTTTTAAGCAGTGCCCAGAAACTCGTCCCTGCGTTTTTTTGAACATTGTACTAACTAGTTGAATGCATTTTCTTAAAGATAATAAAGATTAATTCTTTCCCAGATTTGTCCTCAGCTTGGTTCATGTACCGGAGAGTTTCCCAGTAAGGAAGGGGAAAAACAAGCCCTAGGCTTGGATTATTTTTGGCTTCCTCTGCTGCGTATTGACAGACCCTGGACAGAATCCCTCCCATCTGTTGGCAAGAAGGCAGCTTTGTTTATCTTGGACAGGCGAAGGAAGGGGAGGCGGGGGCAGCTTTTCATTTACAGGTGGCATTTTGATACCAAGGAAATACCCTTGCCAGTTCGTTTTTTTAAAATACAGGCTGGCCAGGGATAGAAGCTTCGTATGGGGGCTTGAACCAGCTTACCATGGCCGTAACAGGAGTTTCCAGGTAAGGAAGGTAATTTCAAGAGCATTTTTACCAGTTCCCTCCCCCCCCCCCGTGAGTTTCCATGGCTGAGTGGGGACTCAAACCCAGATCTCCAGCATCTCAGACTGTCAGTCTAACCACTACACAACGTAGGGTGCCACCCATTCATAAAGTGACCCTAAATTAGGGGGAATGTGACAGCACACAAAAACAACAATTAGCTCTGTGCTTGTGAGCCCTTTGTCAACAGAGGGAGAAAGGCAATTAATCTCACATCCTTCCAGGTGTTGCAAAGGACCCTTCCCGCTTACAGACTCCATTTGGGGAGGGGGGGAGGCATTTAGGCAATGACATTTCCTATGGCCATAGCATCTGGCCAGCATCATTTTTGTCTTTTGCTGCGTCTCTCTCCTCCCATCCTGAGTCTTATACGGTCCAATCTGCTTTGGCTTGGCTTCCTGCCTTGAGCAAGGGGCTGGACTTGATGGCCTTCGAGGCCCCTTCCCACTCCACGATTCTCTGGTTCCCGAAGAGCTGGCTGGCCTCAATAAAAAAAGTATTGCCTCGCTCAGGATTGATTCTAAAGGACTGTAAGCGCCTGGAGGCAGAGCCCCTTCCTCTTGATGCCCCTGACCGCCCCACCCTCCTCCGAGGCGGGGGGGGGGGTGCTTGG